TTGCTAGAGCATACTGACTAAAAGCACCAAAGAATCAAGCAATGTTTGCCATGAAATTAAAGGAATAAAATAGAATGTATATGAGGGAGTGGGTCACTAGGGGCTGGCGGTTACTTACTGCTGAGTTAAAGTAGTGATCGTTTACGTGATTCTTGTGCCGGCTTTTATCAAAACTAAACGCGCATTTCTCAACAAGAAGTTTACTTTTAGGTGCTGGAAATGTTGTCATCGTTGCATCCCATTACGTCGTCCATCCAGTGAATATACAAACCGCTGTCACACGTGTTTGAAATGTTTCTGTTTGCCAGCTGTTTGAGGTCAACTCCCGACCTTGTCCTCGTTCCACACATTGTCCATATAAGACTGAAAATTTCAGTTATCAATAGAAAATGTCTGTCTGTTAATGCTACTTATATAAAGTAATAATTTATTTATTGTGGTTGATATCCTTTTCAAATTTACTTTATTTTAAGTAGTAACTGATACTTTCAATATTGTATGGCGTAAGATCTTTGTAGTGGTTAGAGGTTAAAATGGCGCATGCGCGTTTTGGTCACGAATATGGTATACGGAGTAGCGTAAATATTATTATTTCTCAGTGTTTTCACACAAATTCTTGTCATGCCACGGCAGGAGAACGCGTCTGTACATACGACAATGACTTGTCAGTTAAATTAGGTATTTGGAGAATTCATGACAAAATTGTGTCGTCGTTAAACCGTTATTATGCGAAGTTGTTGAACGAAACTGTACAGTTTTTGAAGATGTCTGATTCTATGGATTAAGACAAACTTGAGCATTGGAATGTTTTCTGCAACCTTCGACCACAATGTGACTGAGCAAAAGAAGGAGAAAGATTCGCCCGAAAAGAAAAACAGCGCAATGTCCATGGAGCGACAGAATGAAAAGGGCGAAGTGCAAATTGTGTGTCCGTCCGTGTCAGACCTCTGCAGAGAGACACCCACCGATGTACTTTGTCCAGTAACTGGTTGTGGTAAAATAGTTAAAAAACCAGCAGCATTAAGAATGCATCTGATCAAGACTCACCAAGTTTACAAAGTAAGTATTTGGTAAACAAAGATTTCAAATTCAATATTAATAACTAATACAATATTTAGGCTAATACCTATTGTTGGTCTGAACAATGTAATGGTAAAATATTAGTGTTTGTTAGCCGTCTAATAAATATTTAGCATCTATCAGGGCTTATCTAGCCTGAATTTGAACAAGTCTAACGTAGGTGACAAGATAACATACTCCGGTAAAGAATTCCAATTACTAACAATTCTGTTGTTTTTTTCAACTTTAAACTACATATATGCCCTCTAGGATTGTAGCCATCAGAGACTTTTTATTCTCCCATTCCAGGCCACTGGAAGTGTGGAATCATCTGTATGGGATCAAATTGTTCCCACGCTGTATACATGCACATATGTTTTGTGAAAGGCTCTCTTATTAGATAATGTTAGTGGATCGGGTTTGGTACTCAAAAATAATATCCAAAATACTACTATGTTGTAATGTGTACCATATAAAACAGAATTTTATCTCCTAGTTTAGACTGCCCTTTTTCAGACACTTCGACACTTCAAGCATGTTTACTCTGTTTAATATTAATGACCTATTTTGTCGTGATGTGGAAGATTTCCACTCTTGTCAAAGATATTTGCCTATGGCTTATCTATTGATTTTATTCTGTTGAGGCATCAAAACTTTGCTTCACACTGTTTTGGAAATGATTGCTATCGCTCATAGTTTCGATATAAACAAAGCAAAAATAAGAATGAAATGTCCAAATATTAAATTATTTCAAGCCTAGTGTTAGAGGAATTTTAGTGCCACTGGGTAAAGTGTTGCCCAGATATTGTTTTTGTGCTCTGCAATTAAAGCAAACTGATCTTTTCTTTAGTTATTACATTATTTTTAATTAATGGCTCTGTTTTTAGTGTGTGTATTTTGTTTCTCACTTTCACATATTGAAGTGTACTATTTGGCTTAGTACATGTTATAGAAATCACAATGTACGTCTTCTCAAACTTTACAGAATGCAGATGAAAAGACTTTGTTCACAGCTTCTAAAGATCAGAAGAAAAATATAACAAAACATTATTACTGTCCAATTGATGGTTGTTCTAGATGCATCGCAACTAAACGACCATTCATGAGGTTAAATCAGGTAAAATTGGTAAGTATGGTTTTTCTGAAATTATGTTTTGTGAATATGATTCAGAAAATGACCTCTGTGTAACAGTTGTCAACCTAAACCCAGTAGGAACATGTCGCCATACCATGACAGCTTCTACAATTTTTATCTTCTGTCTTAAAAAGTTTCTTCAATTTCCATTGAATCTTTTCAGCTGTCCTTTCAATTTTTTGTCACATAATTTTGTACTCCATTTTTCTGTTTCCCGTTGAGCTATCAATCTATCACACTACCGGTATTTCTTTACTCTGCCAAACAGATATTAGGGCGCGTACCTCTTTGTCAAGCTAGAAATTGCGTGAAATTACAAACAATGTTGTCTCCGCCATAATTAAAATGACAAGTTACTTAAAGAAGACGACTGAGTGCGTGATTTTGGCTCCAATAGTTGGGTCCCAATGTGTATACACGGTCAGAGCCATTTCAGGGCTCAACTCTATCAGAGTTCAACCCTGAGGGTTTATTGGAGCCAAACTTAGCTTAAGCCAGCTCGAGGCAAATGCATATACAAGGCCATTTTTTGCTGGCTCAAGCCGCAGGGCTGATAAAATGCTGCTGCGTGAACGTAGCAATGAACACACCTTTGTTTTGTGAATAATGTCACTCATATCCACAATCTCCAGGGATGTATTTGATGTTAACCTCAGTGTTTCTCATGTTGTGTATGTATGTGTCATTGTTCCTTCAAAAACTACAGTGTATAATCTTTTGCTACAACAGCACTATATAAAGATGCATGGTGTGAAGAAGCTGGAATGTAAGAGGTGCAAGAAAAAGTTTGGCACTAAATCAGACTTGAATCGACACGAAAGGAACTGTGGTCAGATTTTCAAGTGTACATGTGGATGCCCCTACACTACCAGAGAAGCTTTACAAGTCCATGCAAAGCGACAAGGTCATTTACTCCCTGCTGAGTTTATTAGAGTTACTGCTATGGTAACCCCTGCTAGACAACCTCCTACTACAAGTGCAAGGTGAGCCACAGTTATCCCTGTTGCCATTATGTTATACTGCCACCAAGTGTCCAGTTATAACAATCTTTCTATTGTTTTTTTTTCCTGTACTGCAGATTCTTTATAGAGGTAAAATGTTATGAATTAAAAACACTAACTCACTAGTTTAATTAATAACTTTGTTTGAATTTATGAGAGTGTATTATATAAAAACATAAACTACTGACAGTTTTAGAATAGTGCCATCAAATGTCAAACAAAATTGATTGTTGTTGTTGACTCTGTATATATTTTTTGTATTTTACCAGCTGTTTATATGTCCTTATTTCACATTAATGTCAGTGTTTTTATTTTTTCATGCATTAATAATGGGCATGTTTTATATAGCACTCAAGTTGGATTTCAGACTAATCGCCAGTTTCCATGTGAACTCGTCTTTGAGTATATACATTCTTGGCTGCCATATACCTATAGGTTGAACTGTCAAACATCCCATATCATGTTTCCATTTACTCTTGGGTAGAAAATTAATTAATTCAACCATTTTTGTCACCATGGTAATTCAATTTAAGAAATGTCAGTTAAAAAAAATATCTAGGTCACCATTTGTTGACCTAAAAATGACTTATTTCCCGGACTCACTGGCATCATTTTTAGTCAGTCCACCAAGGAATATTTATGGATTCATGGTGGTGATTGTGTTTAGCTCTGGTATGCCTTGAGCTGCTCAAGCTTTATGCTTCCCAGAGAGTTGATAGTTTACCGATAGATTCCTGCGGGTTGTTAGATATTAAACGACATTATTCTAAATCTTTCATCAATTTTCTGGACTCTCATATACTTGACTTTAATTTGTTTTAGGAAATCGACATCACCTAACAAACCTGCAAACAAGAAACAAGCACATGATGAAAAAAGTCAAGTCAATCGTAAGTGCAACAAGCCAATACAGATACTTCCCAAACAAACTGTGCAATTAGTCCCTCTAGTGATCATGCCCATCCCAGTGTCAGCATTACCATTACAGACTGTACCAGCTGTAACCTTACCACAAGAAGATATTACTACAGCTAATCCAGCTTCTGATAATTACAGCGCTAAAGTCAAAGCTAGTAAGAAAGATCCACCACGAAATAATATCAAAAATACAGCTTCTGTGAAAAGAGTTGCAACAATACAGTCAGGTGTAAAAAAGAAAAAGAAGGCGATTGTGAAGGAGAATTTCCAGAATAGTGCAATGAATACTGATGTGTTAGATGATGTACATCATATTGAGACTCAAACACCGGGTGATTTTATCATCAAGCAAGCTATGATGTCAGTGGATACAGATACACAAACAAATCAGTCTCTTGCTTTGAGTGTTGATGCTTATACATGTACTGGTATGGTTGCCAGTAACAACGATGTGATGTGTATGGAGACTCAAACAGGTCTGACAGCAATACCCATGGGTAGTGAATTGAATACTAATGCAGTTATTAGCACAGTACAGACATTGGATTTGGAACTACCACCAACTATGAATAGTGAAACGCAAACGCTTCATATGGTTGATCAGCAAGGTGCAACAGATTTCGACATATCATCATTCTTCCAGAATCACAATCACAATAGTAGCCTGGAGCCGGATGTGATGGCAAGTGTAGCAAGTACACTAACCCAGACTGATGCACTGATGGAAAATAATTTTGGTGAACTGTCCAATAGTCAAACGCAGTCTTTGAAATTGCTTCATGATTTGATGAGGGATTGTGAGAATACTGCAACACAGACGCAGAGTAGTTTTCAGATAGAAAGCAGCGCAACACAAACCCAGGAAAGCTACCTCAATGAAGTATTGACAAATGATGTACAGAACTGTGATGTACAAACACTGACTGATGAACAGATTTGTCAATTTGCAAATACAAATAGCATACAGACAGAAACAGTCGAGTTTGACATTGAAAAGTTGATATCTGATGGAGATCAGTCTGTTGGTGTGGACTTCTCATCAGAAGTTGAGGACGTTGAATTCCTCAACTCGTACGCACAGACAAACATGCCATTTACAAATGGGGCTGACTGCTTTACGCAGACGGGAAGTGACCTTTTTGAATTCGTAAATATGCAAACACAGACAGGGACTACTGTAGATGTAGACAGTAACACAATAACACAGACAGACCCCAACATAATACTGGATGACTTGATTCTACCAGATGACAGTATGGATAGACAAGTACAAGTCAACTTTAATGCGCTTACTCAATCCACCGATATTGAAACACAAACAAGCATCGTCAATCACCTAACAGATGCAGTTGAATTGAGTGACATGCAAACACAGACGTTTCAATGTAACCATAATGACTTCCCACTTATGCCTATCCAGTCAAGTAATATGGAAACACAAACACTATTTACAGATTTAGGAATATCCACTGATGTACAGAACAGTTTGACCGATTCACACACCCAGACTCATTTCCGTGATGTCAGAACCGTTTGACCGATTGACAAACCCACTCTCACTTTCATGACGTGTATTTCATTTTATCGTTTGTTATGACGTGGCTACATCATGCTTGTTTCACTCTCATAAGTTCTTGATAGAATAGATACCAGGTATACTTAGTTGGTTTGTGTTTGCAGTGGTGCATGATGGGGCAATTATGAAAATCCTGCTATGTTGTATATTGCTTGGACACGGGCCACTGTTCCATACATTTCTATGGGCCTGGAACGCCAGTCTATGTGAAAACAGCAGAAGTCGAGAAAGTGACATAACTCAGTTTGAGGTAATTCTGAACAACCAAATTACAAAAAAAATGTACCCTTGCACATGTAGGGGTAGTCTTGTTACAGTGTTCAGGAGCCCAAAGTACAGTTTTCTGTGAGTTTTCAGCCTTTGTTTTCACCGTTGATGGTTGCCAGGCGGTGAAGATGTTAAGATGAGAATATTCAATCATAATTATCCTATTATCTTATATGTATATGTATTTATTTTTGGTTCAGTAACAGAAAGTTTTTAAATTTCTGTCGATTTGTGGCTGGATACTTTAAATTTGCAGTGATGTGTGATATGCACCACCAGTGATGAGTGAAACCATTCTTCCAGTGGTATATTTCTAGTCCTCATGCATTGTACAGTCAAATTTTGTTTATATACACTGCATAGTATCAAACTAAACAGCTCGTCACAAACTCATATTACAGCTCCTATCATCAGACACTAAGTAGCCATTTATGTTTTGTATTATTTTACCACCTATATTTCATGAGACTCTACACTGGCTGTGGTTGTCCACAAAGCTAGCCTTCGTCATTTTGCAAGGTATAGACTCTATGTCATTGTAATGTTAAATTTGTTATAAACTGACAACATTTGTTGAATACTGAGAAATGTCAAGGCATGAAATAATTTCAGAGTGCTGTGCTTAATCAATTAAATGTAGGTAACTTGTGTGGTTTGAAATGAATCGCGAGAAGAACATTTTTTTTTTTCACATGCATGTTCATGCAATATAACTGTGCGTTTTGAGCAATGTAGTGAAAAGAGTGTGTTGTGAGTTTGTCCAACAATATAGTGAGTGTAATTGTAAATGACTTGCATTGTGTTTGAGATTGCTTGGAATTCTTTCTTGCGTTTAAAGCTTAATAGACATGTAAGTGGCCATCGAGATCTTCTTAGAAGCGAGAGACCCACAGACTTGTTTTTGTCCCTAAAACAGACATGCTCATTCTTTTTCTTATAATGTCCTCTGTTCCAAAATACCTTGGTTGCATATAGTGGAACAGTGGACATTATTGACATAGATAATGGAACACTATGTGAGGAATAAAAAACAGTCGCTTAGCTCTCTCTTCCTCAACAGGATCTCTGCAGCAATTTCTGTCCATTGTGCATAAAATATGCTGATAATTTTATCTATCTTTCCATGTACTTCACTCATACAGAATTTTGTTGTATGAACTTTAAAAATGTGTGCAAGTTTGTCTTTTATTGTGTTGCATTTCCCTGGTGAGTTAACAATTAAAGTACATTTAAATAAAAATTAAATATAAAAATGCTCTTTCTGGAATTGTTGTATAATATCACAGGAGACAAATTTTTTTTAATATCGTGAGTGAGTGACATTTGCAAATTTTGTCGTCATGAATGCAATGAAATTCTGAAGTTGTGAAAATATTTAGCAGCGAAAATTAAACAGTCTACACTATTCCACTCAAACCTTACTCCTTAGATTTTATGGCCAAGGAGAGAGATTAAATGGTAATCTCCGTTGACACATCTTTTCATATTTTATGATTCAAGTGCTTAGACACGTCAACAGGTACGGGCAATGACATAGCACTATGAGTGAATTTTGCTTACTAACTACATGGAGATGGTGGTATCATATCAATTTATTTATTTAGTATTTAAGCAAATGGCAGTACTGAATAGACTTCAGTTTGTGTTGACTGTGAACATGAATTGTTATCGATAGGTTTCTAAGATACTGTGTGACTATGTGTTTCTATTGCTTTGGGTCATGTTTACTTTTTGACAGTGTGAGATTAGAGTTAGTACTGTACACTTGCCTGGCACAAAATGTCATTGAACGGTAGTCAAGACCATCTGTATCTGTGATACTAGCTGCTAATCTCTGCCACCACTTAGTCAGTTTCAAGGGGTGTGGTCAACTTTTATCAAGATGTGAATTCACAGTAATCTACTTTCAGGAGAATGAATTGTTCTTGTGAGGTCATGTATTATGCAGCTAGTGTACGATTGAGATGCAAGGTGTGCATGTACTTATCTATATTACCTGATTTTAATTTGGATAAACATAAGTACAAAAATATATAAAATTTACATATCAGTTGCAATATTATGAAAATGAACACTTGCTTTGGGTTTATAATTTCCCTTACAGCCATGAGATCAAGCAAAAATGTGAAGCGAAAATTGACATGGTCACATAACTGCAAAAATACATTAAATTAAACACAATTGAAGTGAACCAACATTTAAAAAAAAAAGTTGTAGCAAAAAAGACATGGTTAAGAGTACCAAGCACAGAAAAAGTTTTTTGTGCAATTCGTTTCAAAAATTGCATTTGAAACTACTCAAAAACTACCAGCTCAATTGCTTTGATACTTGGATACTTTGTCCGATTTATTCATTTTGTGAGGATATCTTCAATTCTCTATTTTTGGCAAATATTTTTGCCATATATTTTTGCCATTTTTGGTAAAAAATGCCATTTTTCAATTTGTTCATGAAAACTATCAGCTCAATTGCTTTGATATTTAGTATGTAGGTACCTCGGGTGGACCTGATTTGTTAATTTGGTGATGATTCTATATTTTAGTTTTATTTTTTAACATTTTATTTTGATACTTGTAGTATCCTTTGAAATACCGGTACATTTGTTGTGCAGTGAACATTTCAAATGTGTTGGAATTGGAAGTACATGTACTAGTAAATTAAAGAACTAATCATGCATGTCATTTCCCAGGTTTATGACCAAATTTATTTACCATATCTGCCGTATTAGAAGCACATCTTCAATTAACATCACCATGCAATTTAATGGTAAAAAAATTGAATTTCTCTTCCTTATTTTTTTTTTAAATAACTAACCTCTATGTTTAGATACACACACCCATACATGTTTGCTGCAACTCTACTAGCACATTGCCATGAATTTTTAATTGGCAAATAAATTTGTAATTTCCTGATTCATTCTTCTCATTCAGAGAACTGTTTGCTCACCAGACACATCAAAATAGGCTGTCCCAAACGTCTCATTTCCACATACCTATCAAACTACGATATTTTGAAGGTGGCTTAATTTCCTGAATGGATTCATGAGTTTAAGTCGGAATTTAATGAACCGAAAATGATACTTTTATTAGACAAGATGTATTTCACTTCAGTTCTTCGACCTATTTCTCCATGCCACAGGATGAAATTACATCTGTTACACTAATGTTCTGTAACTTGGCAACGTCTTTTTTTCGATTATTTTAAACACTTACCATTAGTTCAAAACAAAGCACTGGATTTTCTTTTTTGGTAGTGTAGACATACCTCTATGAGAACCATTTAATAAAATGTACTGCGACTGTACTGACGTTTGAATAACAACCATTCATGTGATAGACGTCATACCGTGCTGTTGTTTACAAATGCGCTTTACCCATGAGCCTTTGCAATTTAGCATGTGTTATTATTGTATTATTGCTTTTGCAGGTGACATCCTTCTACTTTAAAATACATCTTTTTAAGGAATTTTTCATGAAAGTAACATAAACTGACGACCCCTGTTCATATGTTGTTCGTGTTATTTTGTTGAATAGTCAACGTTTTCACAGAATAAACTTGCATATTAATTTTGTTGAACATTTTTTTACAGTTGTTGAATATTATATTTTAAAGTTATTTTCATTTGATTAAAACAAACTATAGAAACATATCTGACCACAATATCGGTGAGAGGAATAATGGCGAGCAAAGCATTAATGTCTGGAGCAGCTAGTGATGATATCCAAGACTGTATGCTTCCACCCAGTCATGAAGCTGTGTGTATCCAGCCAATAATGAAACTGTGTTGTGCTGTCATTTGATACTTGTATCAAGCATAAGTCGGTGACTAAAATAAAATGTTTTGGGAACATGTCATTGTGTTCAATTGCACGTAAATGAAAGGTAACCAATCAATAAGCACTTACATTAGAAATTACCATGGTAACGCATCTAATATGCTGCACGGAACATGATATCTTGCAAGGATGCTAATCAAATTTGACGCTGTATTTGTGCTCCTTTTCAATTTGCATTGACGCACTGGATTGGAATGACGACATTGCAGGTTTTCGTGCAGCAGCCATGACTCCTGCTTAATTGACTGGAGTCCTGAAAACATATTGACCATGAGTGAATAGCGACTGTTATTAACTGCTGCAATAATGTGCTTAATACCATGTTGTTGTGAATGCATTTCCCATTCTGTTCTCGGTACACTAATTATTTTCCTAGAGTGGCAACATCCATTATAGAAGATATCAGGAGTATATATTGCGTGATATCATTTGAGTTTTTATTTCAATGCAATTTGATGTTGTATTCCAGATTGGCATTTTCTTTACTATTTAGTGTTCTTTGGGATAGAGGTACATGCAGTAATATTGCAGATGCAAGCATCAAAATGTATATGATTGTGTACGGTGATCTGAAATCACCATCTGAACGACGAGACACTTTGCTAGTTGCATGTATTTTGTAGTATAGCATATTCTAAGGTTCCTAGGATGCAAAAATATGTTGTATTTTGGATCACTAAATTGTCCAAATTTTGGGTTAATATAATTGTTATATTATGGGTGATAATATTTTATGAAATACTGGAATATTTCAGTGGGAAATTCTGTTATAAATGTTGCTGTACCATGTTGCTGTTTGCATTCAAACCAGTCTCGTAACAGTGTGTTTATAAATTATGAATCTTTAATCCTGAATTTAGGCCTAAATTACCTGGTATGTTTTTTTTTAATATGTGTTGCTTGGATTAATCCAACTAGGCACTATGTGAAATTTTAATCACAATGAAACAGACAATATAAAAATATGA